TGTAGCTGTATCTGTGTTGGAGAATACTTACAAGGTGGTTTGTCTGTGGGAGAACTCCTTGTAACTGCATCTGTGTTGAAGAATACTTACAAGGTGGTATGTCTGTGGGAGAACTCCTTGTAACTGCATCTGTGTTGGAGAATACTTACAAGGTGGTTTGTCTGTGGGAGAACTCCTTGTAACTGCATCTGTGTTGGAGAATACTTACTAGGTGGTTTGTCTGTGGGAGAACTCCTTGTAGCTGTATCTGTGTTGGAGAATACTTACAAGGTGGTATGTCTGTGGGAGAACTCCTTGTAACTGCATCTGTGTTGGAGAATACTTACAAGGTGGTTTGTCTGTGGGAGAACTCCTTGTAACTGCATCTGTGTTGGAGAATACTTACAAGGTGGTTTGTCTGTGGGAGAACTCCTTGTAACTGCATCTGTGTTGGAGAATACTTACAAGGTGGTATGTCTGTAGGAGAACTCCTTGTAGCTGTATCTGTGTTGGAGAATACTTACAAGGTGGTATGTCTGTGGGAGAACTCCTTGTAACTGCATCTGTGTTGGAGAATACTTACTAGGTGGTTTGTCTGTGGGAGAACTCCTTGTAGCTGTATCTGTGTTGGAGAATACTTACTAGGTGGTTTGTCTGTGTGAGAACTCCTTGTAGCTGTATCTGTGTTGGAGAATACTTACAAGGTGGTTTGTCTGTGGGAGAACTCCTTGTAGCTGTATCTGTGTTGGAGAATACTTACTAGGTGGTTTGTCTGTGGGAGAACTCCATGTAACTGCATCTGTGTTGGAGAATACTTACTAGGTGGTTTGTCTGTGGGAGAACTCCTTGTAGCTGTATCTGTGTTGGAGAATACTTACTAGGTGGTTTGTCTGTGTGAGAACTCCTTGTAGCTGTATCTGTGTTGGAGAATACTTACAAGGTGGTTTGTCTGTGGGAGAACTCCTTGTAGCTGTATCTGTGTTGGAGAATACTTACTAGGTGGTTTGTCTGTGGGAGAACTCCTTGTAACTGCATCTGTGTTGGAGAATACTTACTAGGTGGTTTGTCTGTGGGAGAACTCCTTGTAACTGCATCTGTGTTGGAGAATACTTACAAGGTGGTATGTCTGTGGGAGAACTCCTTGTAACTGCATCTGTGTTGGAGAATACTTACAAGGTGGTATGTCTGTGGGAGAACTCCTTGTAGCTGTATCAGTGTTGGAGAATACTTACAAGGTGGTTTGTCTGTTGGAGAAGACCTATGGCACATCTCTGGTGGAGAACATCTATGTCTTATCTTTGATTATATTCAAAGATAAGCATGAGCCTGTGTGGGCATTCTAAAGGTCTTTGCAGGTAGCGTACTGATCAAGGTTGACCTTTCAGATCATCAAAGATGGATGGTTCAAAGATCAAGGCCACATTGTAAGTCAGATTCCATTTAGACAGGAGTCAGAGGCTTCCCCAGGAAGGACTACTCCTGCAAAGGTATGTTATTTGTATGCAACATCTGGTGGTTCTATGGTTTGGATTGATAACCCTTCTACCATGGGGCTTTTCTGAAGGGTATGTCCACTGTGTGGTTCTTTTGTTCGGTCTGTGTGTTGGGTTTTCTACTGAACAGTATGTCTGGATCTATGAAATCTAAAGATGCTCTATTATTTCAACATTCTGAGCCATGTAAAGCCATGACAGATATTTTGTTGTTGCCATAGTTGCTCCACTATGCAGATTTGCACCCCAAAGCTGTCATTATTCTTTTGGTATTTACTAACACAACCATGATTCTTCAACAGACAATCCTTGTGTGTCTTAACTCTTTAAACAAGGGCTTGCCATATTCTTGGTAACTTGCAGAGAGTCACTCTTCTTGGGTGGTCATCATCCTTAGTTGGCAAATAATGCAGTTACCTAATACATAATCCCTTACTCTTACATGTACTGGGGTAGTAGCAACTTAACCATTCGGCCCAGAATCTCCACAAAACTTGTTTGTTTGCACTGACATTGCACTACATAACATTTCAGGCTGTCAAAATTGGCACGGTGAAAAAGGATGTAAAATCTCTTTGCCCGGTACCAATAACAAAGGACAATGACAATCACTCCCCTGACAATGCCCTTCACATGGCCATTATTTGTTATCTTTTGTATATTTCTATTTATTGGGTCAAACCATTTTGGGTGCATTTATACACTATCATCTTGACTGACATCTTCATGGAACTTCCCGTCTGTGGTATGCTGTAATCAGTCTTCTGAATCATTCTGTTACTCACCACTGGCTTATTCCACATCTCTGGATGCCCTTTCCTGACTTATTTCCGACCTGTTGGTGTGAGACAATTGTTGCTGTTGTCCACTGGGAACACTGGCTCCTCCTCCTGCATCACAAGTCAAGCTCTGGATCTGTCAGGCTTCACTTCTTGTCCTATTGTTAAGTATCATGAACCTTTCAGGCTGTCAGTGGTGGCTGGTTTAGACACAGCCTCCAGCCTGTGAGCAAGGAACACATTACTGAAGAAGAGGAGGATGTTGATGAAGAAGATGATGCTTTTATTATGGAATCCACCAGGGTAGGTGAATACTACTTGTGTCTTCTCAACCATTGTATTTCTTCTCTGGTATTTTGATTACCATCCTACACAGTTGATCACAGTGTCTGTGCTGTCAAGGTCATATATTGGATAATTTCAGGTTTTCAGTAGTAGTTGGATGACAGGATCTCTTCTTGAGCACCCTGGTCAGGAGGAAGAACTCCAGGAGAAGTCAGTACCTTCAGTCCCTGGAAGGGTATGTCTCATAGCCTTCTGGTTGGTGCTGGTCATTGTCTCATGTCTCATTGTCAAATGTCACTACAATCCTCTGTGGATCAGATTTCCAGCTCACTTTAACAGTGTCATTTATTGGACTGACTGTTAAGTGATTTTAAAGGATATCACTTTATGTTCAGGACTGTACTGTGTTCAAACTGTTTCCACACTTTGGTGTGCTGTCTTGTCAGAAACATTGCCCTACTAACATATACCGCCCATCTGACAGCTAGCTAGTTCTGTTCCTGACATGTATATCAGAATATCATTTCCAGGTTGTCAATGGTGGTTGGATGAAAGAGGACCACAATTCTGTGAGTGAAAAGCCAGTAATGGAGGACAGTGGTCCTGCCATAGTAAAAACTACACTGGCCAGGGTACGTCAGTATGTCTGTCTATCTGTCTGTGTCCATCCGTCACAAGTTGCTATGACTGGCTACAAGATGCAATAGGTCATCACACAACCCATTGGGCCCAACCATGCCATTTGTGGATATTTCTGGGATTTTCAAACAACCTTAACCATGTTCACGAGAAGGTGGAAATCAGTCACTTGGGAAGGATTAAAAATGAATAAAAACATAACAAGTCTTGAAAGTTTTAAATGTTAATTGACCACAAGTAAAGTCTCCATATAGTCTTCATACAAAACACTGACAACTGACATATTTGAAAGAAAATATTTCGAAAGGCAGGGCGTGTCAGAGCTGTGATGAAAAAGAATTTCAATTCAGCATGACATTAACGTGTACCATTATTTTGTATATAAATTTGGCTTTATGCCTAAATCATATCCTGTTGGCTGTGGACATTTTTCACCATCCTGTATCCTTACAAACAGAAGCAACACTTGTTGCAGGGGCTCAGAGACTCCCAGCATTGGCCCTTTGTACCAAAGAACAGGGTCCAAATTGGGCTCAGTGAGGGAAACCTATGTTTGGTGTCCCCAACCACATGGCTTGAATATTGCTATCATGTGATCATTGTTGCACCCTTGACCTTGATGACTTTACAGGTGTTCAATGGGGGTTGGATGAAAGAGGGCATTAAACTTCCCAGTCAGGGGCCTGTCATAGAGGAGACTGATGTGTTGATAGTTCCTCTAAGGGTATGTTTATTTACTACACTGCCTTTACATGGGAGTCTGAGGTACTTTATAACATAACACATGAGTAATCAGTATCATGGCATAATATCCCTATCAAACTTTGATGAGTATACATCTTGTCCACGTGGTGTATGTATCTCTATCTCTGGACTAACAAGTTATCACGGCTGGGATGTTTCTGTCCAGATGACAACAGGACTTCCATGTGATGGGGCTCAGAGTGATATTGGTCTAAATGGGTTAAACTAACTCACTCACTCAGCATGATGGCTACGTGATCTGCACAATGCCTCTGCTGTCTACTTTTGGTATCACTGCTGTTGATCTTTGTCCTATCAAATCTTGGAGGTATCTATATTTTGGTATCTTGCCAAAAATTCTGGGCCTTTTGATATCCTCTTCTCTCTTTGTTCTTTGGGGGCGGTGGGGTAGACTGGTGGCTAAAGCTTTCACTCGTCATGCTGAAGACCCGTGTTCGATTCCCCACGTGGGTACGATGTGTGAAGCCCATTTCTGCCATCCCCTAGAATGTTGGAATATTGATATGGGTGGCGTAAAACCATACTCACTCACTCCATGTGTTGTCGGTATTGTGTTAAGGCCTATGATATTTCAGTATCATGTGTTGTGCTTGTCTTTTTTATCATTTCTTGGTATTTGACTATACTGTCTTATCCTGGTATGTTATTTCTCATTATAACCCAAATGGGAGAGAGATTGTGGCGAACTAACTTTACGGTAATTTCTCAGTGGGAAGAAATTATATCTTATAGACTGAGCAATGTGATTGGTTGAATGATAATTTGAGTGCTGATGTACGACAAATTATTCTCAAATGTCTGGTTTTGACCTCAATCTAAAATCATGTGATATTTAAATATGCCTGGTCTGCTGCCTTGTCTACCAGAGTCATCAGACACAAGCAGTGTTAAACCGACTAAACAAAAACAAATAACATGAGACACAAGGAACAGCCTAGGTGGCACAGATGTTGGGATGGTAATCATATATATGTCTGTTTTCCTGCTGTGCTAGTGAATGAAGAGATCGCTGTGTTGCATGTCTCTGTTGCATGACTCTGTTGCATGATACAATTTTCAGGCTGTGAGTGGCAAGTCTCTCAAGCAGGATCAGCATCTCACCAGTAAGGATGACATCATAGAGGAAAATGAATCACTCTTCATTGAAACTCATCCTCCAAAGGTATGTGTCTGTGTTGACATTATCAGGATTCTCACAGAGTATCATTGTTTTGTCCACAAGAATGACACGCTTTGATAATTCCTTGAGTTGAAAGGATTTTGTTCACTGTACAATGTCCTTTTATGTCCACCTTCTCCAACCAGTGTTGAGTTTCAGTCCCCTGCTTTGTCTCCCTCCTCAACCAGTGTTGTGCCTCCCTCCTCTGTGATGTCCACCTTCTCACAACCTGTGTTGTGTCCCCCTCCTCTGTGATGTCTACCTTTTCACAACCAGTGTTGTGTCCCCCTCCTCTGTGATGTCTACCTTTTCACAACCAGTGTTGTGTCCCCCTCCTCTGTGATGTCCACCTTCTCACAACCAGTGTTGTGTCCCCCTCCTCTGTGATGTCTACCTTCTGTAACCAGTGTTGAGTTTCAGTCCCCTGCTTTGTCTCCCTCCTCAATCAGTGTTGTGCCTCCCTCCTCTGTAATGTCTACCTTCTCACAATCAGTGTTGTGTCCCCCTCCTCTGTGATGTCTACCTTTTCACAACCAGTGTTGTGTCCCCCTCCTCTGTGATGTCTACCTTCTGTAACCAGTGTTGAGTTTCAGTCCCCTGCTTTGTCTCCCTCCTCAATCAGTGTTGTGCCTCCCTCCTCTGTGATGTCCACCTTCTCACAACCAGTGTTGTGTGCCCCTCCTCTGTGATGTCCACCTTCTCACAACCAGTGTTGTGTCCCCCTCCTCTGTGATGTCTACCTTCTCACAACCAGTGTTGTGCCTCCCTCCTCTGTGATGTCTACCTTCTCACAACCAGTGTTGTGTCCCCCTCCTCTGTGATGTCTACGTTCTCACAACCAGTGTTGTGTCCCCCTTCTCTGTAATGTCTACCTTCTCACAACCAGTGTTGTGCCTCCCTCCTCTGTAATGTCTACCTTCTCACAACCAGTGTTGTGTCCCCCTCCTCTGTGATGTCTACCTTCTCACAACCAGTGTTGTGTCCCCCTCCTCTGTGATGTCTACCTTCTCACAGCCAGTGTTGTGTTTCAGTCCCCCACAGCAATGCCACCATCCCCAATCAAGAAGAACGCCTGGGGCGAGCAGTCGTCACCGCTACACTTCTCCGACTACAAACTTGGAGGAGAGGTAACAAAATGGCGTTCATGATAAGATATGACATAAAGATTTATACCAACGTCTACATGCTGTGGGTATGCTGACAGTAGCTTGGTGTAAACAGTATCTGACAGTAGCTTGGTGTAAACAGTATGCTGACAGTAGCTCGATGTAAACAGTATCTGACAGTAGCTTGGTGTAAACAGTATGCTGACAGTAGCTTGGTGTAAACAGTATCTGACAGTAGCTTGGTGTAAACAGTATCTGACAGTAGCTTGGTGTAAACAGTATCTGACAGTAGCTTGTCGTAAACAGTATCTGAAAGTAGCTTGGTGTAAACAGTATCTGACAGGAGCTTGGTGTAAACAGTATCTGTGAGTAGCTTGGTGTAAACAGTGTCTGACAGTAGCTTGGTGTAAACAGTATCCGACAGTAGCTTGGTGTAAACAGTATCTGACAGTAGCTTGTCGTAAACAGTATCTGACAGAAGCTTGTCGTAAACAGTATCTGACAGTAGCTTGGTGTAAACAGTATCTGTGAGTAGCTTGGTGTAAACAGTATCTGACAGTAGCTTGGTGTAAACAGTATCTGACAGTAGCTTGGTGTAAACAGTATCTGACAGTAGCTTGGTGTAAACAGTATCTGACAGTAGCTTGGCATAAACAGTATCTGACAGTAGCTTGGTGTAAACAGTATCTGACAGTAGCTTGGTGTAAACAGTGTCTGACAGTAGCTTGGTGTAAACAGTATCTGTGAGTAGCTTGGTGTAAACAGTATCTGACAGTAGCTTGGTGTAAACAGTGTCTGACAGTAGCTTGGTGTAAACAGTATCTGACAGTAGCTTGGTGTAAACAGTGTCTGTGAGTAGCTTGGCGTAAACAGTTTCTGCCAGTAGCTTGGTGTAAACAGTATCTGCCAGTAGCTTGGTGTAAACAGTATCTGACAGTAGCTTGGTGTAAACAGTATGCTGACAGTAGCTTGGTGTAAACAGTATCTGACAGTAGCTTGTCGTAAACAGTACCTGACAGTACCTTGTCGTAAACAGTATCTGAAAGTAGCTTGGTGTAAACAGTATCTGACAGTAGCTTGGTGTAAACAGTATCTGACAGTAGCTTGGTGTAAACAGTATCTGACAGTAGCTTGTCGTAAACGGTGTCTGACAGTAGCTTGGTGTAAACAGTGTCTGACAGTAGCTTGGTGTAAACAGTATCTGACAGTAGCTTGGTGTAAACAGTATCTGACAGTAGCTTGGTGTAAACAGTATCTGACAGTAGCTTGTTGTAAACAGTATCTGACAGTAGCTTGGTGTAAACAGTATCTGACAGTAGCTTGGTGTAAACAGTATCTGACAGTAGCTTGGTGTAAACAGTGTCTGACAGTAGCTTGGCGTAAACAGTATCTGACAGTAGCTTGGTGTAAACAGTCACTGTGAGTAGCTTGGTGTAAACAGTATCTGACAGTAGCTTGGTGTAAACAGTATCTGACAGTAGCTTGGTGTAAAGAGTATCTGACAGTAGCTTGGTGTAAACAGTGTCTGTGAGTAGCTTGGCGTAAACAGTATCTGACAGTAGCTTGGTGTAAACAGTATCTGACAGTAGCTTGGTGTAAACAGTATGCTGACAGTAGCTTGGTGTAAACAGTATCTGACAGTAGCTTGTCGTAAACAGTACCTGACAGTAGCTTGTCGTAAACAGTATCTGGAAGTAGCTTGGTGTAAACGGTATCTGACAGTAGCTCGATGTAAACAGTATCTGACAGTAGCTTGGTGTAAACAGTATGCTGACAGTAGCTTGGTGTAAACAGTATCTGACAGTAGCTTGGTGTAAACAGTATCTGACAGTAGCTTGGTGTAAACAGTATCTGACAGTAGCTTGTCGTAAACAGTATCTGAAAGTAGCTTGGTGTAAACAGTATCTGACAGGAGCTTGGTGTAAACAGTATCTGTGAGTAGCTTGGTGTAAACAGTGTCTGACAGTAGCTTGGTGTAAACAGTATCCGACAGTAGCTTGGTGTAAACAGTATCTGACAGTAGCTTGTCGTAAACAGTATCTGACAGAAGCTTGTCGTAAACAGTATCTGACAGTAGCTTGGTGTAAACAGTATCTGACAGTAGCTTGGTGTAAACAGTATCTGACAGTAGCTTGGTGTAAACAGTATCTGACAGTAGCTTGTCGTAAACAGTATCTGACAGTAGCTTGGTGTAAACAGTGTCTGACAGTAGCTTGGTGTAAACAGTATCTGACAGTAGCTTGGTGTAAACAGTATCTGAAAGTAGCTTGGTGTAAACAGTATCTGACAGTAGCTTGTTGTAAACAGTATCTGACAGTAGCTTGGTGTAAACAGTATCTGACAGTAGCTTGGTGTAAACAGTATCTGACAGTAGCTTGGTGTAAACAGTGTCTGACAGTAGCTTGTCGTAAACAGTATCTGACAGTAGCTTGGTGTAAACAGTCACTGTGAGTAGCTTGGTGTAAACAGTATCTGACAGTAGCTTGGTGTAAACAGTATCTGACAGTAGCTTGTTGTAAACAGTATCTGACAGTAGCTTGGTGTAAAGAGTATCTGACAGTAGCTTGGTGTAAACAGTGTCTGTGAGTAGCTTGGCGTAAACAGTATCTGACAGTAGCTTGGTGTAAACAGTGTCTGTGAGTAGCTTGGCGTAAACAGTATCTGACAGTAGCTTGGTGTAAACAGTATCTGACAGTAGCTTGGTGTAAACAGTATGCTGACAGTAGCTTGGTGTAAACAGTATCTGACAGTAGCTTGTCGTAAACAGTACCTGACAGTAGCTTGTCGTAAACAGTATCTGGAAGTAGCTTGGTGTAAACGGTATCTGACAGTAGCTTGGTGTAAACAGTATCTGACAGTAGCTTGGTGTAAACAGTATCTGACAGTAGCTTGGTGTAAACAGTATCTGACAGTAGCTTGGTGTAAACAGTATCTGACAGTAGCTTGGTGTAAACAGTATCTGACAGTAGCTTGGTGTAAACAGTATCTGACAGTAGCTTGGTGTAAACAGTATCTGACAGTAGCTTGTTGTAAACAGTATCTGACAGTAGCTTGTCGTAAACAGTATCTGAAAGTAGCTTGGTGTAAACAGTATCTGACAGTAGCTTGGTGTAAACAGTGTCTGACAGTAGCTTGGTGTAAACAGTATCTGACAGTAGCTTGGTGTAAACAGTATCTGACAGTAGCTTGTCGTAAACAGTATCTGACAGTAGCTTGTTGTAAACAGTATCTGACAGTAGCTTGTTTTCACAGTATCTGAAAGTAGCTTGGTGTAAACAGTATCTGACAGTAGGTTGTCGTAAACAGTATCTGACAGTAGCTTGGTGTAAACAGTATCTGACAGTAGCTTGGTGTAAACAGTATCTGACAGTAGCTTGGTGTAAACAGTATCTGACAGTAGCTTGGTGTAAACAGTATCTGACAGTAGCTTGGTGTAAACAGTGTCTGACAGTAGCTTGTCGTAAACAGTATCTGACAGTAGCTTGATGTAAACAGTAACTGTGAGTAGCTTGGTGTAAACAGTATCTGACAGTAGCTTGGTGTAAACAGTGTCTGACAGTAGCTTGGTGTAAACAGTATCTGACAGTAGCTTGGTGTAAAGAGTATCTGACAGTAGCTTGGTGTAAACAGTGTCTGTGAGTAGCTTGGCGTAAACAGTATCTGCCAGTAGCGTGGTGTAAACAGTATCTGCCAGTAGCTTGGTGTAAACAGTATGCTGACAGTAGCTTGGTGTAAACAGTACCTGACAGTAGCTTGTCGTAAACAGTACCTGACAGTAGCTTGTCGTAAACAGTATCTGAAAGTAGCTTAGTGTAAACGGTATCTGACAGTAGCTTGGTGTAAACAGTATCTGAAAGTAGCTTGTCGTAAACAGTATCTGAAAGTAGCTTAGTGTAAACGGTATCTGACAGTAGCTTGGTGTAAACAGTATCTGAAAGTAGCTTGGTGTAAACAGTATCTGACAGTAGCTTGGTGTAAACAGTATCTGACAGTAGCTTGGTTTAAACAGTATCTGACAGTAGCTTGGTGTAAACAGTATCTGACAGTAGCTTGGTGTAAACAGTATCTGACAGTAGCTTGGTGTAAACAGTATCTGACAGTAGCTTGGTGTAAACAGTATCTGACAGTAGCTTGTCGTAAACAGTATCTGACAGTAGCTTGTTGTAAACAGTATCTGACAGTAGCTTGTCGTAAACAGTATCTGAAAGTAGCTTGGTGTAAACAGTATCTGACAGTAGCTTGTCGTAAACAGTATCTGACAGTAGCTTGGTGTAAACAGTATCTGACAGTAGCTTGGTGTAAACAGTGTCTGACAGTAGCTTGTCGTAAACAGTATCTGACAGTAGCTTGGTGTAAACAGTATCTGATATTATGTTGTAATTTTCAATAACATAACTTTTACACCACTTCATATGAAGCATAGGGGCGGTTGGTTAGTAAAGTGGTTAAGGTGTACACTCGTCACGCCAAAGACCCGGGTTCAATTCCCCACATGGATACAATGTGTGAAGTCCATTTCTGGTGTCCCCCCAGTGATTTTGCTGGAATATTGCTAAAAGCGGCGTAAAACCACACACACTCATATGAAGCTCAGTTATTTTTTCCCGTTACTTTAGATAACGAGATCACAGTTTTCATGTCAAGTCCTGCTACTGCTAGTATACATGTTACCTGCCGTAAAATTCTATTTGCTGCACAACCTTCTGATGCAATGTCACATTGCCCTTTGCATAGTGGATGTTATAAATAATACATTAACCTCTGTGTGGGAAGTTACTTTGACCTAATTGTGTGAGATGTTACATTGACCTGATTGTGTGAGATGTTACATTGACCTGATTGTGTGAGATGTCATTTTGACCTGATTGTGTATGATGTCATATTGACCTGATTGTGTGAGATGTCATATTGACCTGATTGTCTGAGATGTTACATTGACCTCTGCTTGAAATGTTACTTTGACCTCTGTGAGATTTTACACTGACCTCTGTCTGTGATGTTACATTAATTATTGAACGTCAAATTCATATAAGATGTTATTTGACATCTGAGTGGGATGTTACATGGACCTCTGTGTGCGATGCTGCGTTGACCATTGGACATCAAATGAGCCTGTGTGTAAGATGTTAAATTGACCGATAAATGGGATCTTCCCAAGGCAAGGGAGTTAACTGACTGTCAAAGTCCAGTTTCCACCCTTGCCATTTCAGCTGCAATTGTGGAGTAATATTTTGGCTGGACTAACGATTCTATGCATTGTCCAATCAAAGTCGAAATAGACATCAGGTTCATAAACAACATGGATTTCAACATAAAGATGTCGGTTGACTGCACGATTTGCAAAATATGTGTACCATCAAGAGATATTTCCCAAATATTTTCATGTTGCATGTGTCATGAGATGTGGAATCTGATTGGTCAATATGAGGGACATAAAAGGGATATACCTCGTAAAGGACACTGGTGGCGCTATAAACGAGCCCAGAAATTCCAGCCTAGTTTGGCAAGGGTGGAAACTGGACTCTTACAGTCAGTTAACTCCCTTTTTCCAGAAAGATGACTGTTACATTGACATTGGGATGTCAAGTTTTCCTGTGTGTAAGATGTTACTGTGACCTCTGTGTGGGACATTACAGAAGCAGCAAGCGAAGAAGTCAGGTGGTCAGCTGCCCCCAGTGAAGACAAGGTCCAAGCCACTGGGACTCCTGGACCACTATGATGCACCTCCTGCCCACATCCTGGCAGACCCACGGATCCAAGACAGGGACCCAGATCCTGAGGTACCCTTTCACCATCGTTCTATAGGTGTTCAGTAGTTCATACATTAGTGTCACAAATGTCCAAAGATGGGTACGTAGAAAGGCCTATTTTAGAACCAAAAAGGGGGTGAAGGAGTAGCCTAGTGGTTAAAACATTCACTCATCACGTCAAAGGGCTAGGTTCGATTCCCCACATGAGTACAATGTGGGCGCCCATTTCTGGTGTTCCCCCGTGATATTGCTGTAATATTACTGAAAGGGGCGAAAACCATACTCACTGAGATCCAAAAACAGTTTTCAAGATAAGGGCATGCTCCTGTACATTGCTACATTCCTTTTCAATGTGGGTTTACTTGTTTCAGGGGAAACTCCAGGAGAGGAAGAAGAGGCTGGAGCAGGTGTACAGTGTGGAACCAGCCTGGTCTGGTGAGCAGAACAAGGTCAGTGTGGAAATGGTCACTTTGTGACAAATAGGTCATTTACGGGAGATTTGATTTGAACTGAAAGTCAGACTGTTTGCTTGTTGTTTAACGCGGCACTCGGCAATATTCCAACTACATGACCGCAGTCTGTAAATAATCTGTCAGTATATCAGTACCCAGTATCCATAGTAACCACCCACTGCTGCCAGATCCAGAGGGGGTGGGTTGGTTTGTACAGGGGGTGTTGCAGTCAGCTATCATGTCAAGCTGTGTGAGTCTGTGTTATACTTTGTTGACTTTGTGGATTTGGTTGTTTTAAAAAAAACCTTCTTGATCAGTCTCTGGCTGCCAGCATCAAACTGCTATACAAGGATTGGTCATTAGGAGGGACATTAAAGGGACATAACTCATAACAGCCACTGGAAGTGCTACGATCAAGCAAAGAAATTCCAGCCTAGTTCGACAAGGTTTCAAACTGGACTTTTATAGTCAGTGAACTCCCTTGCCTCGGGAAATAACCAGGATTTCACACTCACGAGAATCAGTAAACAAAGACAACAAGCCTTGCACGTAGCACATCCTGCATGACTCCTGCAGCACTTACCGTAGTAATGAGGTACATAAGCAAGGACTTGCTCTGACAATTCACATATAAACTAACACCTACTTTACTCCAGGCCAGGAAGCCAGTTTCGTCTAAGACGTCAGGACAAAGTCAGAAATCCTCCAATAACAGCCAGAGGTCTGGGGATGACCCTCAATCTATGGACCGCGAAGTTGAGACGATACACCTTTATGAATCCAGGGATCTGGTGAGATACACAAAGTGTTTGATAATGTTGTGTTACGGATTACACAGGTGGTAGGCCTACTGACTTGTGTGGAGGGCTTTCCTCATCTTCACTTCCTTCAGAATGAGGGGGCACGGGTGGCCCAGTCGTGTAAGGCGCAGCGATTCGCTGGGCAGTATTGTGTCCCTTGGGCACGCCAGAAACCTATGATTGTGGGTTCGAATCCCGGTTTGCCCCGATTATGTTTCTAGGTTTATCAGCACCATACCCGTGCTCTAGGGTTTCACCATAGTGGAAAACGTCTGAGACCTGCATCACTTCAGGCTTTCCTCCCACATTAAGCTGACACGCAGCAATATAACTGTAATATTGTTAAAAGCGGCATTAAACCCAACTCACTCACACACTCCTTTATAATGGCAAAGTGTGTACTGTACAGACCATTTACGATGATCTTGACGGAAATAGGTATGAAACTGAAATAAGAAATCTGCAGTTGGTCCCAAAGGATTTTTGAATGAGGATGACAACCTCGTCACAGTGTGGCAGGTTGTAAGAATCTACTCCTGGTTGTCGTGGTTTGATGGTGTGTTTTCTCATTTCAACAGCCGCTGTACAGAGGCCGAACCGATGACAACTGGGGGAAAGTGAAAACTGCTGTTGAAAGAAAGAAACGGCAACAGCGAAACAGCGGCGAGTTACCAAGACACTTTGTACATAGTGAAGAGGACTTGTCCCGGTATGGGAGTCGACAACCATTCGGTGGGATACGGACGGCCGATGTGGGTGTGCCCATCATGTCGCGACCCCGTCAACACAGGGAGGTCAGCAGGCACGATCCTAACCGACATTATCGGTACATGTAAACATGTGATGTACGTGAGAGAAGATCTAGAGGGATCACTTCAATGAAAACACTCATGATATAGAAGCTTTTCACTAGATCGGATGAGATGGACATGTGTAAGCTGGATATGTTATTGATAGAGTTTGGGCAGATTTGCTAAGAACCATGGATGACACCTGACTATATGCTATAATCATGTTTTATTGGTAATTCATGACTGATACAGATGGATTTGTTTAACTGATTAGATATATATTGAAAGGACTTTCCCATAAACCCTTTAAACTTTACATCATGGTTTGTTATCAATATTTGCATGATCAAGTCAAGTGACAAATGGTCAAACAATTTTAACACCTTCAAATGCAAAGAAAGCTAAGATCACAACTGTTATTTTTAGCAATAAGACCCAATCTTGATGAAAGTTGAAATGAGTTCGCATGCAAATTTGATCATTGATGGAACATTGATCTTAGTTCCAGCATTAAAAGTCAAGATCATATTACTTCATGATTTTGTTTGCAGTTTCAAGAAAAAAAAGTAAGGTTTACTACACTTTTGTTTCAGTTAAAAATAGTTGTTAATTGAGACGACGCTTTTAGAAGGGCTTGTGCAATTAACTGTAGAGACAACTTGCCATTTAAAAGATTAAACTTGAAAGCACTCTTATATTATTTTAATATTTTTATGGAAGTTTTGAACATGACTTTTCATAATGTATAATAATTATTGTATGACCTACTCTTCAATGAATACCTCAAGCATAATACAGCGGTAATAATATATTGTTCTTGTGTTTCTAAGTCTTTTATTTTTGTTATATTACTTAGATGTATATTTGAATATTAAGAAATCCACCAGTATATCAACATGAATTTTATTATCTCAAAGCATTTACTGCATAGTGTATTTGAAAAAAACTGTTTTGAAAGCATGTTTATTTTTTCTTACATTCAACCCATACACATTAGGTTTTTCAAAACTTCTAAAAGATTTCATTTCAAGATAAAACATATTATATTTTCCATGACAAAATGACATTATTATACCTATGTATCGACAATCATTGCTTCGTTCAAATGTGCTTTAAGTCTGCTGTGATGGGTTGAAGGTACATATGGTTTTAATGTATATAATCTATTTCAAACATGAACACTGATTCAGGTTTATATATCTAAACGGAAAACGTTTACTGATGAACTAAACCATCCCAATGGTCATTTCTTAATTCATATAGAATGTATGGTGGACATCATATCACATCTCGATCATATTAAAAAGAAAAGAAAAATATCATTTTGCCCGCCATACCTATGCACTTCTGAGCGGGAGCAGTTTTTTTCTGTGTTAGAAATACGAAAAATGGTCCTCCCGCACAATTGGTAAAAAAGATGGTCTGATAATAGGTTTGTTTTGGTCCAATAAATACAGCTTGGAATTCTTCATTAAACTCAACCATCCAACTCTAGATCAATGAGAAGTAAACACACACACACACACTGCTCATTGCAAACCCATGTTGACCAACGAACATTTGGCACATGGCAAAATATCCATTGAGAAAAAACCTGCAATCTTAATGTCTTTTCTTCTCCATTGTCCCCCACCTACAGACCATGTATTTTCACAAGGACATCTGCTCATTACGTCTGGCCTAACTTGAGAGTTGTCTCTGTAATACTTCCAATAATTCCATTTGAACGCAGTGCCTTTCCAGGAATACCATTGTCCACCAATCATGACTTGCCAGTCGGAGAATGACTTGGTAATTGTAACAGAGGTCATTTTTATACGTGATCACAAAGTGTTTGGGTTTTGAAGATTTTATTTTAGAGGTGTGTATACTCCTTAAGCATTCTTCACACAGCAACCAGTGCTAATAGTACCGTGATAGCACGACTGGTATCGTGGGACGGGGAAGTGGTGTGGCACTAATGGGTGTGGTTCTCCTAACTGTGTAAGACCTGGGTAAACATCAGTCCTAGGTCCACATAAATATGGTCCTAGGATCTCATAATATGGTACCTGAGTCCTAGCAACTATGTCAATAGTAAAAATGACGAGGTATAGTTTGTGTCCACGTGAAAGCCTTGTTAACTGATGGAAGTTATGTCGGGGAAGCGTTGCAGGGTCGCGGGACCAAGTAGATGAAGCGCTCGTAAAAGGTGGGAATATTATCAGTTTATCAACATTTACAGATTTTCTGTTGAAGAATATTTCTATTGGCAGAGAACAACACTGTTTGGGAAGGAGGTCTCTGTTAGAAATATCATCCTTTAGATTTTCATTGCAAAATTTGTTTTCCAGTTTATTCTGTCATTATTTGTTTTTCGAATTTGGAAAAATATCAAGGGAGTCGATGGAGTTACAAATGGTTTCTTTTAATGAAAAGAAACTGGCACAGACGTTCTGTACCAGAATTCTTGGCAAGAGAATTATATATTTTTGCACAAAATAAACACACTCAAAGTCAAGAGGATTTTGAGGCCGATGCTTGAGATGTTATTTGTGTTTTGTATGTCAATGTATGTCTCTAACGGGCTGTGTCTCCAGTGCTAGCGATGTTATATTGAACAAATGTGTAGCCAGGGATGTAGGTTACATTGCATGGACATGTATCAGCATTTAATCCAAACAAAGTCATTTCATGCAATAAATACCCTTAGTCATCATCATGAATGTGTCTGTTGTTTTCTGTCTGGCCGGAGAGTGGAGGTCGGTGGTTCGATCCCCTGGCCGCGTCACACTAAAAGACTTTAGAAAATGGTGCTTCTTGTTTCCTAGCCTGCACTCTCCGTATATCTCCGTGGGCGTGCACTATACACCCTCTATTACTCTGGACTAGTACAATCAGCTACACACACAACGCACGCACATACCTGGTCGCAATATAAGTGCAATAATCTTGAATGCGACGTTAAACCCCATTAAACCACCTTCCCGTCTTGAGTTGAACCCTGTGGAGAATCCAGATCAGAATAAGTCCCCAACTCTGCTTGTAAGAACGGATGGTCACACTGTGTTTCTTGGCTGACAGTGGCACTGTACCGACGGCTTGAAGTGGTTCGTACTGTAAACCACGGGTTTGCGTGGTCCAGACTCCATTACATACAGACTGAGGTGATATTGTGGACAACTGCGTGGTGAATCAATCGAAATGGAAAACTGTTTCAAACTATAATGCCAAACTACTCCAGAATATTGCCGTTTGTGTTCACCATACTCCTTAAGAAAGTAAATAGACTCATGCATGTACCCTGTGAAAAGAAAAACATGTACTGTGAGCACCATGTAGTTCTGTCAATAATAAGCTGAAAACTAATCGGATTAGAGGCGCAAGAAGGCGGTTGACTCACTCACTCAGAAATTGACTTGTCCTGAATCGATTGTTTTGATTTATTTATAAGCCATCGTGACATACCTGGAATATGTTTGACTGCGACGTAAAAACAAACTCTTTTTTTTTAATTTATCCATCATTTACTCAAAGAAAGCTGCACAATTGAGTTGGATCAGTTCTGTCATGTTTCGGCAGAGAGTTGCGTATGACACACACACCCTCTCTTTCTCTCTCACACACACGTACACATCCTCCCTCTCTGTCTCCTCTCCCCCCCCCCCCCCCCCCCCCACACACACTGTAGTCTATACCCATCCCCGCTACCCCAGCTATAATATAACTCGAATATTTCTAAAAGTGACACATTACTAACAGAACATGCTGAACACGCAAACAAATACGTATGGTTTATTCTCACAGTAATTTCAAATGGCCTATTACCTGTAAATTCGGCATACAACCTGTGAGAAATCACGTAAGTCCCCGAGAACACGCTTAATCTTAAACATATCTCCAAACATAATTTTGACTCACGTTACCGACAGCGTCATGGTGGCTCAGAATAGCCGTGATTGAGGCCCTTTCGGCACAGTTGATGAAAGATTACCTGATTCTATCAGTCTTATACTACCCCAATATCAACAGAGTATTCACAATATTTTAGATTTTTTGGTGCCAACGTCTTTTAGTCTGATGTGTGTAGTCTCAATGTCGGGTGATTGTTTACCTTTTCACACTCTATTTATATGATGAAGCAGATCAAAGAGCGCAATAAACTTTCAACGGCTACTTTGTTCACACTTTGTAATTACCAGTTGATGGAAGTGATAAGTGCATTCCAAAACTATTGGTTGAACCTGTTCTTGAACTAGTCTCAGCTGTGCATGGGCATGTGGGCGGCTTCTGATAACCTAAACTTTGGCCGATAAACCCGACAGTATAGCTTTTACATATTAATTAATTTGGTTCAGAAGCAATCCAAATAGTGGCTCAGAATCAGTCAAAGTAGTTCAACACCGAGTCTTGTTCGGAAACCACTCCCGGGCCATTAATTCTGTTAAAATCCAAATCTGTGTTTACGGGTTTGAATTGATTGATCAATGTGTGTTGAAGTTCTTATTTGGAAGCGAATCCCTTGTCACGTGATTACCCTGTGAGTGAGTGAGTGAGTGAGTGAGTGAGTGAGTGAGTGAGAGGATGGTTGCGTTTTACGCCACTTTTAGCAATATTTCAGCAACATGCACACATTTTATCAAGTGGGGGCATTGAGCTCGGATCTTCCGCGTGAAGAGCGGGCACTTTATACTGGGCTTTCCAACGCCAATTTTGGTCACATGAGCTCTTGGTCTGATCGGGGCGGTGGGGTAGCCTCGTGGTTAAAGCGTTCGGTCGTCACGCCGAAGGCCCGGGTTCCATTCCCCACATGGGTACAATGTGTTAATCGCATTTCTGGTGACCCCGCCGTGATATTGCTGGCATATTGCTTTAAGCGGTGTAAAACCATACTCACCCACTCACTCAAGATGTGATCATCTGTTTATAGACCAATTCAGCTTGTTATCTAAATTGACCCGTGAAGATCCGGGGTAGAAAAGGTCTTCAGCAACCTATGCTTGTCGTAAGAGGCGACTAACCGGGCATACGTAATCACAAATGTTTGAATTTGAAAAACGGAAATAGATTAAAAGAGACGATAAAAACCAACAGGCGAAATCGTACCTCAAACGAAAAATTCCGCCACTGAGGGGAATCCCCTAACTGGGGTAAAAACGTGTTCCCGGTGTATGACTCGGAAACGTTTACCACTTTGGTGAAACAAACACGGATGAGTTGCTGGCATACCAAGGATGATAATCTTGGCAACAATTTCGCATGTACAAATACTCAAATCTGCCAAACTGTTTAAATTTTAAAGAGAGCTTTACAAAACTTACGATTACAAAATGCCATTACACCAAAAGAGGAGTACAGGGTTATTTTTTAGGAATTTGCATACATCTATTCAAATCAGACAAAATCGTGGAATTTGCCCTTTTTGTATCAAGTAATACACTATGTATTTCCCATTATTATCAAGCTTTTCCATCGAATTTTGCACTTAAATAATGCCCAAACATTTAACATGCGATTCAGACATACACAACATGAATCCTAAAAAATGAAATTTATAATAAATAAAACTCACTTTTAAACGTTCTTGTGGTATTATTGCTACTTAAAGATGACATGTTAAACCAAAGCTCAGATTAAAATTTGGAACGAAACAAATGAGTTTGTATTATTGTTTGAGGGGGAAATGGTTATGTGTTAACCACAGACTTTTGGTATTTTTACCGGAGAGTCTTAATAACTGTACCTCAGATATTTTACGTTTTACGTCTTGGTGTACCAGTGGTTGATAGCATGACAACGTGCCACGCCGTTGGGGTGCTATGGCCCACAGTCACCTGTTACGACGGGCTTGAGATACTGGTGACCTATTCTGATCCAGTCTCCCCACATTATGTGTGTTTGTTTGTTTGTTTGTTGTTTAACGCCGCACTCAGCAATATTCCAGCTATATGACGATGGTCTGTAAATAATCGTTTCGACCAGACAATCCAATGATTGACATCATAAGCATCGATCCCCGCAATTGGGATACGATGACATGTATCAACAAAGTCAGCAACCCTGACCACACACGTGGTCGTTGTGCGTGCATGCGTGCGTGTGTGCGTGCGCTCGTGCGTGTGTGTTTTAATCACACACAGGCTTATATATATGCATCACACAGAGGCTATACATTGATAGCCAACTCATTAGATAGCCTTTTGTCACAAGTGTACACTAGAATAAATTAATAATGCAGTTTTTACGCTGAAAAACACCTAGTGTCGATTGACATCAAAAGTAAAGCAATAAATATCGAACTTTCTTGTGAGTGTTGTATATTAATACTGTAACGATTATGAGTTTGAAGCCCTTCGGTGCATGGATGTGAGTTAGATTTAGGGCTAAAAACGTGCCTAAAACATGCTTTATGAACAAAAACTGTCCGAGTTGATGATAGTTAGCCGCGTGAACTATGTACTCCCATGGTTCTTGGAATAATACAATCTGGGTAGTTACTATAAGAATGTTACATTGATTTGAACAGAGGAAAATGAAGGGAAACTGTTCTTCTTGAAGACATTTTAGAACGTCTTATTGGTCCTTGTATTCCTGCATGGCATTTCAACTCCCTTGGTTTGGCCGCGAATAGCTGCAAACCTCCTCATGTGGATGGAATCACATTTTTTAAGGTCCAGCCAGTAAATGGTAGTTTCTACCTACGAACTTCCGGTTTGGCATGCACATCGCTTAACCCCTGTGACAATGTTAAACATCATAATTCCAACACTAGAGCAGGGGCACGGGTGGTCCAGTCGTCTAAGGCACCGCGATTCGCCATGCAGAGTTGCGTCCCTTGGGCACGCCAGAAACCTATGAGTTCGAATCCCGGTTCGCCCCGATTATGTTTCTAGGTTTGTCAGCACCATACCCGTGCTCGTGGGTTTCACCGAAGTGGTAAACGTCTGAGGCCTGCATCACTTCGGGCTTTCCTCCCACATAAAGCTGACACGCGTGATATAACTGGAATAGTGTTACAAGCGGCGTTAAACCCAACTCACTCACTCAACACTGGAGAACATCATAAACACTGGAATGCTGGTACAACAACCATATGCATAAAAGAAACGAAAAACATTACAAAAAGTAACAAACCTGGTTGTTTGCATCGTTTGAAGAAGGATCTCCTCTCTCTGTGTGATGCTGAATGTGTTTGTGCCATCCGTCCCGGCTGTTGAGTTTTACGACCTCTTCGACTAGACGGTTTGTTGTAGCCAGTAATAAGCATGTTAGCACTCTGCAATATTGACGATATTTACTGCCGGGCAGAAAACAATATATACCCAGGTTTGTTTGATGGTTGCTGAACATGAAACAAACAGGAAATGGTTATTCGATGGCGGTGCATTTGAAACGGGTATCATTGAGGATATAATTGCAACTTGGTACCTCACAACAAGTGACTGCCTTCAGCCTAGAAACGTACTTTGTTACTGTTTGGTCAAATCCAATTTTCAAGTCTATGCTGTTTTTTGTGAGTGATTTAATTTGATTTGAAAAGCTACTTTTGAGAAAATATTACCTATAATATCGTGGCGTGACGAGTTTAGTGTAACCAGGAGTACGGGTGTATTGATGACAGTCCAAGTATATGGAACCCAAGAAAGGACATTGTCGCGTTGTTGCATTGTCGCGCTTTGGTTCATTTTGACACCTTTTTCTTCTTTTGTAAGGGCGGCAATG